GCTTGGAGGAAAACGTTATTCAAAATTTTTTTTTTCGCGAAATGGTTGCTTCTTAGACCGAAACAGAGTATTTGACATTGTTTATAAACATACGAGCGATACGGCAGAAGAGAAACTGTCGTTAACATTCATACGTTATGTTGTGGATTTATCTTGGGCGAACGATCAGCAAACTCCGCCTGGCGCAAAATTGCTACAAATCAGCTAACTTGACCTCAGTTAGGAGAGTGATCGGCATGTAGTTTTTCCACTCTCCCTATTTCTGTTTCTCTTATAAGGAAAGTCTGCGTAGGCTTACGTTGCTTTGAGATATGTTTGAGATTATTTGAGGAAATCACGGCCATAAACAATATTTCTTGTATGCTTTTCCCGGCGCCACTCATAAATTCTGAATATCTTCTTTTTTGAGATCTTATATTTAGCAGAAAAGTAGTTATTAGTAGAAATGAATCAAGCGCACGCATATGCACGCACGGTGAAACGCACGGACGCATACGCGCGCACGTGCTCCGTTACCAAAGTAATCAGAAAAAAAAACAAGTCAACAATAAAACATGCACTAAAGTAAAAAAAAAAAATTCTTTAAATGGCTGTTAGATATTAAAAAAAAAAAAGAGGTAAAAGGAAAGAGCATTTAAGAGCCAGGCACAGGTGTAAAAGTGCAATCAATATATTACAACATAACAAACTACAACATCGGTTATATCAATTTACGTTTCGACTCGATTTTCTCTTCAGAAAATATAATGGGAAAAAGATAAAAATTCAAACACAAGGGTCAACCGTTACAGAAAACCAAGACTTAAAGAAACGCACGCAAGTAAAATTAAAAACGCAAGTTAGAACAAAAGTCGACATTTGCATACAAACAAAAGCTATAAATCCTCTCTCCATGGTCAAACCAATGACAAAATGTGGCCAACAACGTTTAGGAACATAAAACATGCATCGTTTGCTGATATTGCAACAGTTTAAGATGAAAGCTAATATTAAAGATCTTTGTAGATTACGCCAAGAACTTCGTAGAATATAAATTATTTGTGAGGTGTAACGATTACAATATTTGTAGAAAATATGATTATTCATATATTATATAAAGGGTATTATACGAATAATTAATTATTTTTTTAATTAACTATTGTGTGTTTAACGATTAATTGATGGTTAATATGAGGCAATTCGATGGAAGACCATTTAATTAACAATTGATTTCTTCGGTTGATTTTATTTGAATTAATCGTTAATTAATTGAAATAAAGGGAATAATTCACATTAGTAATTTTTTTTTAAGAAAATAGAAACTTAAACGTTTCAAGTTTATATTTTAATCCTTTTAGATTTATATTTCATAAATGTGTGTGTGTGTATGTGTGTGAAATATTTTATATAGAAACATTTTCTTTTTTATAGTTCTTGTGTAATAGATATTTTCCGCTGTTAAGTTTTTCTTCAATTTCTTATCTGGATACTTCGGCGCATAATTACTAATATTTGCGGAGATCAATTATTAAATTGAAAAAAATATAATTAATATGAAAAAAATTTAATTAATATTTAGTTCTTCATAAAACGCACATATTAGTTTCTCGTGGGATTCACAACATTTATAATTAATGTAATGCACAATGTTGCTTCTCTTATCCGTTTACGTAAGAGCGCCGTGCTTAAGAATTTAAAATAAAATAAAATATACTGTGAATATGAGTGTCGCCTATAACCGGCCACTCACCGGTTTCTAACACAGTTTTTTCAGCACGAGTATTGCATACATGCCCATGTATTAATTGCTAAATAGGTCGATGCTATTATAATTCCTACTGGGTGCAAGATTTAACTTAAATATGTAATGAATACTCTGTTATACCACAAAAAATGATTTTTCCTGTTAGAAACCGATATTCGCGCCTATAATCATTAGCGTATCATTATTAGACGCTTGAATTCGCTTTTACGGTACTGTCACAATCTTATAGCGATATGCTCCTTAAAGCTACGCAGCTTGACGTATTTGGTGTTCTCGTCGACAAGAGTAATTTGAGGAATTATTATTTGAGGAATTCGTTTACTCCATGAATAACTTGATTTAATATGCAGAATGTATTAGAATTTTCGCGCATTAAAAACAAATAACGTATTCTGGAGTTTAATTAAACTCGAAAATTTTCATGTAATAATATCACAATAGTTCTTGAATTGTAAGTGATTTTCCAAGAGGTACCAATGTGCATATAATGTATATTTAATAAAAATTAACATGTACATTTTAATCCATATTAAAAGATTTTAAATGCACATTTAAAATTTTTGTATTCGTCCCGCGTATTAAATTCGCATTTAACGCACATTATGGCTGTGTTCAGATATTTACTGCCAGTACTAAAGGTCTCTGGTTAATATACGTTACGTATATTATAGACTACGTAGAATGGACACAAACGCGTGATTTCACCGTTACCATCGAGAAATGCATGTAATGGACGTAGTGTACATAGTGTACATACACTTTCTTAGGGGACGCTTCTTGTAGACCTTCGAGTGGCCTCTCGATATCGAAAGACCTATGCAGGGCCACATGTAGTGCCGTTTTTCACATAAGCCATTAAGGGTTAAAAAGTTGTTTTTTTTTATTTAATTCTTGCAATAGAGGAGAGTCAAACAATATAGGGAATTTAAACTTAGAACTTGAAAATATAATAGCTACATAATAATAAACACGAACTCTCTGTGATTAGTCAGCAGAGATGTGTGAATCAAATATTTTTTTATGTCGAATCGAATCGAATCTCAGATTTTAATTTCGAATTCGAATCGAATCGAATGAAATCGAATTGAATTGTTAAAAGAATTTTTAATTAACATAATCATTGAATTCAACATGAAAATAGTGACTTCAGTATAAAAGAGATAATATTATGATATCAATTCATTTTAAGGTAAGAAATATACAATATATTTCAGTTCCAGCCTTGAACGCTACGCAACGTCATATATCGATCCGACAGTTGTCGATAATTACCTAGAAGTCATTAAATCCCAGATTCAATAATACATATATATGTATTATTGAATTTAATTATGCAATATTTGTGTAATTATAATTATATAATATTATTACCCGCTAAAAATTACGACTTTTGTTAATTTGTGTCTAAAAAAATCTGTTTAGACATTGTAATGCATTTACTTTCATAAAATAATTTTATTTGAAAATAAAATGTTATTATTAATTTAATTAATATATATTTGTGGTTCTCCAATATGTCCAGTTCTTTGACATATATGTAAAAATTAACGAATATCAAGCATTGAATTGGTAAAGGTATAGGTTTGCTACTATACGTGAGTTCATAATATGTCATCGAAATACTGGGATTCGCCACTTATCCCTTGGAGGCGCTCTTCATGTTGATTACAGCGTGAGAATGCCAACTGACAGTTCATACTTATATAATCAAAGGGTCGGTCTGTGCAGTCGGTAGTCTGATAGGGTTTAAGGACCCTGATATTATAGTTCCACTTTGTTGCCTGTTATAGAGCGAGAGCGCCACAAACACTGACCACTTTTAGCCCATAAGAGTTTAGAACCCCTGCTTCAACGGCTATCGTTTAGTAGCGTGCACACAGTGTATGTTTTCGAATGCAGCGTTAGTGATCATCTGGATATCTGTTGTTAAAAGAAATTCAAAAGAAATTTTTATTATACAATGGCTACATCAAAAACCACAAATACGTATAATAGACAAAATTGGGAAGATGCGGTAAGTTTAAAGAGCCATAACTATGCAACGGTTTATCATTTGTGAAATTTGTACAACTATAATTGATTTTTCTTTATTGTAGGAATTTCCGATACTTTGTCAAACATGCTTAGGTGATAATCCATATATTCGCATGGTAAGTGATTAACAACTTCCAATTATTTATTCAGTGTCTTTTGTTTTGGAATAATGTAGTATGTATTTCAAAGAAATACCGCCTCAAATGTCATGCCAAAGAGGTTATGTCAAGAGTAAAGCGTCTTCTACAATGGCAGTAGGAGTAGTAATAAGAAATAAGCAGTAAGTAAATAAACCAATCACAATCGATTATTTTTGAAAAGTGAGAATAGAATTGATCAATTTGCTTACTGCTTATTTTTTACTACTACTCCTACTGCCATTGTAGAAGACGCTTAATATGTTATGTGTCCTCTACAATGGAGTAGTAGTAAGAAATAAGCAGTAAGCAAATTGACCAATTCCATTCTCACGATGCAAGAATAATTAATTGTGATTGGTTCATTTACTTACTGCTTATTTCTTACTACTGCTCCTACTGCCATTGTAGACAACGCATTAAAAGGCCTTATCATAATTTACACGTACAGGCCCAACTCTGCTTTAGAATTCTCTGGCTATATATAGAGTTAAATCTATTAACCTATAATTATCATATAAGTGAAAATTTCATGCAATTTATTTCTATTTTACATATATATTTTATATTGTCTACACATAGAGTATCATAATTTACAAACGTCCAATCCTGATTAACAGTAATTATGAAGTTCCTCTCTCAATAAAGATAAAAGGACAATTAAATATTCTAAATAAAAATCTTAATTATTTTGATCCAAGTACATATCTTTATATAAGCAAGAAAATATTTATATAATATATAGTAGTGTTGTTCTTATGGAAAATTATCTAAAATAAAAACCTTAATTATTTTGACATAAGTATGTTTTGTTATACAAGCAGACAAGCATTTACATAATAATATTATTTTTATACATTGTGAAAGATTACTGTCACCACGAGTCTCCTTTGAAATAATAACTAATGATTATGTAAATGTTTTATTTACAGACAAAGGAGCGATATGGCAAGGAGTGCAAGATATGTATGCGACCATTCACTGTGTTTAGATGGTGTCCAGGAGCAAGAATGCGATTTAAGAAGACCGAAGTCTGCCAGACCTGCAGTCGACTGAAGAACGTCTGTCAAACTTGCTTGCTAGATTTGGAGTACGGCCTTCCTATTCAGGTGCGCGACGCCGCGCTGAAAATTAAAGACGATCTGCCACGATCCGATGTGAACAAAGAATACTATGTGCAAAATATAGACAATGAGATCGGGAAAATTGATCCCACCACGCCAGCCGGCGCCGTCGGCAAATCCGCCGCGGCTAGCGATCTGCTGATGAAACTGGCTAGGACCAGTCCGTACTACAAGAGGAACAGGCCACACATATGTTCCTTCTGGGTGAAAGGTGAATGCAAAAGAGGCGAGGAGTGTCCTTATCGTCACGAGAAACCGACAGATCCCGACGATCCGCTAGCCGATCAAAACATAAAGGATCGTTACTATGGCGTGAACGATCCGGTGGCGGACAAGCTGATGCGACGGGCCGCGGCCATGCCCAAGCTTGATCCGCCTGAAGACAAATCTATCACGACTCTGTACATCGGCAACCTGGGGGACGTGCTGACGGAGAAGCAACTGCGCGATCACTTCTATCAGTACGGCGAGATCCGTTCGGTGACGATGGTGCCGCGCCAACAGTGTGCCTTTATCCAATACACGCAGAGGACTGCGGCCGAGGCAGCTGCCGAAAGGACGTTCAACAAACTGATACTAGGTGGCAGACGGCTTACCATCAAATGGGGTCGTTCCCAAGGCAGACAGACCGTGTCCGCCACGGAAGCGACGAGGGAGATCTTGGAGCCCGTGCCAGGTTTACCAGGAGCGCTACCACCGCCGCCCGAGGGCGTAGCCAACAATTTTTTCAACCTGCAGACCACCACCGGCATGATGCCGCCGCCGATGATGATCCCGCCGCCACCCGTCGCTCCGCAGTTCATGTTCTCGCCGCAAATGGCGGCCGCAGCCGCTGCCGCCGCTACGCCGATCTTCCCTCCAGGAACAACTCCTATACACTATCCCAGCCAGGATCCATCCAGGATGGGCGCGTCGCAAGGCATCGGCAAGCCCTGGCCGGAGGAATAGTAGTGACTCTAGCTCAAGTTCTCACTGCTGTAACTGTAATGGAAATTTGTGCAATAGAAATATATACGATATGCTTTGATATCTTTACGTCATGTTGTCATAAAAATAATAGCATTGATTTTTGTCAGCGCACACCGAAGAAAAAAAATTTCAGTCCATGCAGCAGAATAGGGACCAAATCAAAATTCAGCGACGTGATCTCTGTTACTGCAACCGAAAACATTAATCTGAGTCAGGTTTGCGAATAATTAATCACCTTTTCAATTAATTATCGCACAGAGAAATGTCCCGAATATATCAAGAATATCCTACATATTGAGATATCTTTATAACATCCTTGTGATGTATTCAGGACATTTCTGTATGGGATAATGAACCAATTAAATCGGAAATCGTTTAATTCGCAATTAATTTCAACAAATTCAATAAATAATCGCTCAGTTCACAAATTGATTTCAACGAATTTAATTAAGGATCGTTGAATTAATATAAACGAAGAAAATCAAAGATCGCTTAATTAACAATTGAATTTAGCGAATTTAATTAAAAGCTGTCTGATGATTGATGTGAACAAATTCAATCGAAGACGATTGACTTGCATCAATGCGGATCTTACTTAACATTGTTTTTTTCCGTACAGATCGATTGATTGATCCACAGTGAAATTATCTCGCGTCGACAATGCACATGCCACGTTGTTTCAAGTAGAATACGAACGCCACCACGTGCATCATCGAGCGTGTGTTGTGCTTCCGTAGGTATGACGACAATATCGATTTCCAGTCTGACTTGAGCTGAAGCGAGAGACACAAGCAGTATCGTTCGAGATGACGCCCAAAATGTGGCAGAACTGCGAAGTCAGATTTGACATTTCTCACTCGTAATTATAAATTCACTTCAATTACTTCGTTATTTAGACGGGCGATTAGGTGTAGCTACATTTGACGCTAGATATGTGTAGTAAAAATACAAAAAAAAAACGTAAATTTTTTGTATATACACAAGATACAATGCGCGCATACATTTGAAAGTTGAAATGTCGTTTTTGCAGCAATATGCAGCTGCGAGCCGGTGAGCTTGCCGTTGATAAACTCGACATGATAGAAGATATGAAAGGCAATGCAGGAGACCTAGGAAGATTAATCATCACGAATTTAAGAATCATTTGGCATTCCTTATCCATGCCACGAATCAATTTAAGTATGACATGATCAAGGCGTTATCGCGCGTACTTTCTAAATCGGCTAAATGTTGCAAGATTCATTAGACTCTAATACTTAGACCCGTATTAATAATTACCACCTGTGAAATTTATCTTATATGAAATACTCAGATCTTTATTCGGAGTTAGATCTAAGTTTTGAATATCTCACTTGAGACGAAAGTTTCAAGTAACTAATTCGGCTGTTAATTGCTCGTCATTTCTTCTTGAACGCAAGGAAATGACAGGTAGTGATTTTACAGGTATAGGCTACAACACATTTATGGGTGTAAACTCGAGAATTCTCACGGTGAGAATCGTTTTAGCGCAGCTATCTTTGTCGTTGCGGCGTTCAGTAATCGTTTCTTACTGTTGATGTCTTTTAGATTCACGGCGGATATACACAATCCCTTCATATATTAACATCCTTTCGAAATTGTCGATACGAATTTATATTTACGAATCACGATTCCAAAAGTACCAGGCACTACACTTCGGTCGTAGGCGTTTACAGGTGACAATGAAGTCTCAATGTCTCCTTTTGCAAAATTATCGGAATCACACGATCAGCAGTTATTTCTACAAGACACTTTTTGCAGAGCTTACCTGTCGTCAGAGATCTACAGAGAGATCAAACTGAGAAGTGGTATTATACAGGAAAATCGACTGGTCTTGCTGCCGCACGAAAAAGTACACTCTTCTGTGCAGGACGTTTGGAATTTATCCATCGAACAGGTTTTCATAGGAACTCGATCTCGATCAATCGTTAACGTGAAATTATTACTCGCGCGTAATTGTTGATTGGACAAATGATTCTTTTTTAGGGAAACATCGGGACTTTTATTATAACAAATATACGTTTGGTATGGTATGCGGATGTAAACCATCAGTTTAATGTGTCGATACCTTATCTTACAATTGGAAATGTGAGTGTTAGAATTACGAATGTGCATGTAACGAATAGAATCATTAAATCATTACAGGATATGCTGTTCTCTTTCTCTCTCTCTCTCTCTCTCTCTCTCTCTCTTTCTCTCTCTCTTTCTCTCTTTCTTTATTATTATTCAGTATTTTTAGAAATCAGATAAAAATTGTTGAGACGCGCAACCGGAGAGTCTCTTCTATTTCTCGCAGATCACTATTAGAACATCGAAATTCGGGCCGACTTTAGTAATCCTAAGTACAGAGGCCAGCGGAGGATACGTCCTAGGCTTTCGCATTAATCCTCTGCAGCAGCTTCACATTACTCACAAAGAAATCTCGGTGCTCCGTTCGGAATTCGACAAGTTTCCGATTCTCGGTGTGGAATACACGTTCGAGCATCAGGTAACTTACAACGTATATTAATGTATCACAGTCGTATTGACTTTATTGTGGCCCAAGGTCCATATTATCACAAGCGCATTTTACTGTGGGTTACTCAAATGAAGAGAGCGTAATATCAGATCGCCACATTTATCGCCAGATAAAAAGACGAAAGATATTACAGATGTAATTATATTTATCTTACGTATAACAATCGTGAAATTATATTTTGAAAACTACATTATATATATATATATATATATATATATATATATATATATATATATATATATTGCAATTAGTTTTTACGAATAAAATTATATTTTCGTTATTTCATACTTGGACCACAACTTCATTACGATTAAATCCTAAGTCCAACTTAAATTTGCTTCGATAACTAACGCTTTTCCCTCTCTATGAAAATTCCTCTCGCAGTCTATTGAGTATCTCATGTTGTTAACAAATTTTCTCCAGTAGTAAAATGCTTAATATTCATTGTCATAACAGGCGCCATTACAAGAGGAAGTTAACGTGGAACATTTTACTGAGATACAAGATAATCAAGCTGAGATATCGAATGTCTTCGGTTATTATTTCTCCGAGGGGGAGACAGGTCAGAGAAAGCCTAATTTCTCAATTCATCTAGGACTGGCGGCAGAAGAACCGAGAGAAGGTAGCACGTTACAGAGTTTATGGGAACTAGTACCATCAGGCGTCAATTAAGTGACCAGCTTATAAACATCTTTCTTTCTCTGCCTAGTTTCACTCTCTGTCACTGTAACGTCAGAAACTGCTTGGCTAATTACGAGGCAGTTTTCTTCCGTTATTAAACATTAGTTTCATAAGGGGATAAAAGCAAACCCATTTTGTACAAAGAAATATCATAACGCAATATATTATTAACTATATCGTACTACATGAATTCGAAATATAATTCTTGCTTTTTCTCTCTTTTGCGCTTTATATTCCCTAACAAAACATTCACAAAATTAACTGGCAAATAAAATTCTTTTTCCCTTCAATTTTATAAAAACACCGTCGTAATAGATTATACAACAAAAGTGCTTCGGGATGACTTTGTGAAAAAATAAATAATTAGAAATAGAAATACAATACAGTGTGTGATTATAACACATATACACACACACATATGTCAATAAACTTTTTCAGTTGCTTATCATTCTTAGTATGTTCCTTCTGAGAATTAACTTGGCCTACAATTTAAAGCCTGCACAAATGGTATATCACGTCGATCCTCATCGTCTTCGTCGCTGAAATCTTGTTGCTGACCAGATAACCTGCTTATATATCCCATGTTCATGAGCATTATTTCAAATGGATCGCTGTTCATGCGTATTTGGTTGGCCGACGCGGCGTCATCTAGATTCTGAATTTCCCTTTCATTTACTCTGCCATCCTGTACGAAGAAAAATTGAAGAATTTATGAATTGTGTTTTCTAAATTGCGAACTCGCAAAATCAACAATAGAGAGGGGGAGAGAGAGAGAGAGAGAGAGAGAGAGAGAGAGAGAGAGAGAGACTACAATTTCTATTCAATTCCGATATCATTGAGAGATTGCAAGTGCATATGTATAATATACCTCCGGTAACGGACTCCACAGTCTAACTACTGGATCAATACCGCTAGTAGCTAGCAAGCATATGGATGGATGTGGTTGTAGACAATTGACAATTCTATCATCTCCTCGCAGCACACGTATGATATTGGTAGTACTACGATCCCAAATAAAGAAGGAACCGTCGTCTGATCCAGCTATTATATATTGACCATTGCTGAAAAGAAAAATCAAAACGAATCAATGTAAAAACGATCGAGCAAATAACCGTATCAACAATTATCTTAGCAATGTTATTATTCAAATTTATTTACTTTCCGAAAAAATTTGCCTCCTTTATGTCGGTCGTCGTGTTACAGTGGCCGCAGAATCGCATTTTATAATCAATGGCGTTACGTCTCCACCCCTGTTCATATTCTGATATCTGATACTGTATCGGATTGGTTTGCGTATCTTTTTTCACTAACGGTATTAGAATTAAAGACATGAATATTAATAATGAATATTAATATTTGTGTATACAAAGCAAAAAGATATGTGATTCACTTAATCATCTCGAATAACTTTCAAATGACTAGTTTATAAAAGTGTTGTATATATAAAATATATAAAAGTTATAATGTAACTTTTATAGACATTTTTTCATAGAACGCATAATTTGAGAATTATTCGAAGTGATCAAGTTATATATAGAGTCATGCTGTATATGCATATGAATTTACATAGGAACTTTTATCAATAATAAAAAGACTGAGATAATGCTACCGTTATCGATAGCTTCCTTTATATCCATCTTCAATGCTTTACACGCTGCATTAGACGCATATTCGCTAAATTTCTGTTGAAAATTCTTAATTACTTTGTCAGCTTCCAACAATCGATTTAAATCGAACAGGCAACGCGCCAATCTGTAAAAGCCAGTCATAAAATAGTAATCTTAGTAACTTAGACAATCTTCATTGATTCAAATACGAAAAATACAACTACAGAACTTGGAGTGACGATGTACAAGTTCGGATTTTAATTTGTTGCCTCAAGCTTATCATTATTATATTGACTAATGTTGATTGGTATTACCTAAAGTGAGCTTTCACGTGTCCTGGATCAAGAAGCAACGTTATTTTACAATCCCGTAAAGCGGCATAAATATCACCATCCCTAGAAATATCACAATTATATAAACACATATAATTAATATAATTTTTATCTTACAAGATTATTATCTTGTAAGATTATTCTTGGTAAAAATAATTACCAAGAACGTTTCATGTAAGCAGCTGCTCGGTTAGCAAATAACACTGCCGCCGTTGGGCAATAACAAATTGCTTTATTGTATAAATTAATTGCTAACGAGTACTTTTGCTGCTCAAAGCCCTCATTCGCCTATTAATGACAAAAGTAATGTATCAATTATAATGCGACACACGTGAGAAACAGCTCTCTTGTAACAATACTCACTTGACGCTTCAGTTCTTCAACATGCGGCGGCAAAACTTTCATATTTTTATGCGTGAAGTTTTCCATCTTCTCTTCACTTTGCCCCGTGTGAGTCCTTCCAAATTCTAAATTCCATTCGATTAGAAAAGGGAAAAGAAAATGCTGGTCATATAATAAGTTTGTTGTGCGAACTTAGTGAAACCAATACCTGTATGTTTCTTTGGCGGATAACCAAAATATGCTTTCGACTGTTTCGGATTGTTAATGTCAAACAAATAAATCTGTTCACCACCCATATTTACGAGTAACTCGTTTCCGTCGTCACTGAACGTCAAGTAAGTCGTGGTGATATTCTTGTTGCTGTCACGAGAGCGCAAATGGCCTGTTCAATAATAGACAATGATAATTCAAAAACAATCACGCATGGTTAGCAGAGGCGGTAAATAAGGGATAAAGGAGTCGCATATGCGATCTCCGACTGTACGAACGAACCTGCAATAAAGTACTGTACACTACCCATCGGGATATTGTTATCTGGATCGCCTTTGCCTGCTCGATAATTGGTGAAATTTAACCAGTCCGTGTTAAAAGTATACGTGGTAGTAGATGGTGGAAACTACGTTTTCAAAGAATTAGAGTATGTTTTGTTGCGATAACGAAAGCTCACGCCGTTTTGGAAGCAAACGAGTGAAATTACCTGCGACATCTTTATCATTCTCCGATCATACATTCGAATGTAAGCATCATTAGCGCCGATCGCGATCAGTTCGGGCTTCTTCGAGTTCACGGCGATGCATTTGCCTTCCACATGGCTACCCACATGATATATCAAATTCACAAGCACGTTGTTCTCTTCATTCCCGCAAATGTGCGGTGTACGCATGTCGTATTGCAAAAAGAGTCCGTCCTCGCTCGCACTCCAGAACAGGAAAGGTATACTAGGCGCAGTGGCGATACGCTTGACACGCGCCTTGTGGCACTTGCATGTGAATGTCGGTTCAGTGAACGAGAACGCGATATCGTACACCCGAATCCTGCAGTCCCCGGCACCTGACACCAGTACACGGTCATTTGATTTCGGCATAAACTAGAAACAAATACGAATAGTGTCAAAATAAATTGTACACCTTTATGAATGAAATATTGAAATTAGCAATGGAAAGGCTCTCAGGATGTATGTATAATCAAATCAAAATGAATTTTATGACAAGCAAGAGCCAAACGCGCGCGCTGTTGGTCGAGCGATATAAATTTGATAAGGGCCTTTGCACGTAGAAAAATTTTAACCGTAACCGTAAGGTCGTAAGAAAACTGACCAATCACAGTCAATTATTCCTCGAACGCAAGGAGAATAATCAACTCTGATTGGTCAGTTTTCTTACGACCTTACGGTTACGGTTAAAATTTTTCTACGTGCACACAGTGGAGACACTGTGTTCATGCAGAAGAAACAGAATGGGTGTATTCAATACTACAACCACTCACTGAGCTCTTACACTTGATTGGTCTTACATTTAGTACTGAAGCACCCAATGTTTGCATCAATTTGAAGCAATTTGAAGCAAACGTTTCGCTCCTCATCGTTTGGACTCTCTTCAGCGCAATTAACAATATAAACTATTAAGATTACTGTTACGGAATCCTGAATAATGACGTTAGAAGCGAGAACACGTAAAAATTCTTGCGTACCATTTTCAAACAAAAAGATATTTATATGTGAAAGAATACTTCTGATCGCTTTAGCATATTTGTAAAATGCTTCAAAACCTCTTCCTTGACAATCAATAAATAATCTTAAAATTAACATGACAAAATCATAAAAAATCGTAGGTTAAAGAGGAAAGTTACATGTTAAATTTTAAATTAGTTTTAATGCTATTTATTGTTTGTCAAGAGAAAAGAAGTTTTCGGAGTATTTTACAAATGCGCTAAAGCAATCTAAAGTGTTCTTTCATAGAAATATCTTTTTATTTGAAAATGGCACGCAAGAATTTTTGGCATACGTTTTCTCGTTTCCGACGTCATTAACCCAGAATTGTATTTTTTATATGTTTACAAGTTCGAGTCTTTTAGTAAAAATTTGATTTCTTAAAGCTCCAATTTTGCGAAACTTTTTCAAAATACACTTTGTGAACCTATAATTATAATCTTAATGAATAAAAACATGTATTGATGATGATCTTAAATCTCTCCTGTTGAGACCGATGGTTACTATTGAAGCACGATTCTCTTACAGAATAGACTCTTTAAACGATGTTAACATTCACCATGAAATTTAATATTTTATACTAAGATATTATTATATATGCTTGATAAAAAAAATTTATATTCTTTATTTACAACTTTTTACAACTTCTTAAATTTTACTTAATTTGTACTCCTATGAGAGTCCTAATAATCTCTTTAATTTATATCACTTCCATGACAGTGTTTGGTACTTGTCTATAAATTTCATTTTGATTAAAGATATTTAAAGCTCTAAGAAGTTACGCTATTTTTAATCTCAGATTTTACTCAGATTGCATGAACACAAAATAAATATAGTATATAATAATGCTATATTTATATAGCATTATGCTATATATAAATACAGCTGTATCATTAATTCTGAAAGAGAATTCTTTAACAAAGTAAGTAATAATGCAATACAAGATTCAGAAACTAACTCTTCTCATCTAGACCAGTAAACTTAATGTATAAATTATTGTATCACTTGAAATGTCTTTCTGTAAAATTAAGCATTGCGTTTCAGATGAATTAGATTAATAGCAGTGAGTATTGATTTACCTTAACAGAGAATATGTTTCCATGATGACCTGTATGAAGTACTAATTTTTTTTCATAACGAAAAGGGTCCCACAATATAATGTCTTTGTCATCTGACGTTGATGCAAGGATTCTGGATAAGTAAAATATTTTTAATTATTCATATTACAAATCAATAATGTATGAATGTACAATCAATACCTACTGTCCGCTCTCGTTCCATTCCAAACAATTAACACATCCTGTATGACCATCTAATTCCTTCTCTAAACCCAAGCGAGATATTAGATTGTCAGTAACTTGCAATTTCTGTCGAATTGTATATGACACTATGTCCTAAATAATTGAACATTCATCACAGTTTATATAGAATTGCAATATGTGCCTAATATATAATTGCAATTGTGTTATTTATCAAGACTTACTTGAATCTCCCTTTGCCGTACCAAGTCTAGGACTCTATAGTTTTTTTTATGAACGTTGAGAAACATATCCATGTTATTCCATTTGTTTTTGTCCTTATTGTAACATAATATAAATTAATATCTTCTGAAAATAAACATGTTCCATATCACACAGCCATCTTAGAAATACCTGCATATATTAACAAAATCAATTATTAATTCAATCAACATACCGGATAGAAAATCAAACAAGCCAAGTGACTTGGCTGCTTAGAATAATTTTATATAATTGTTCTATTGTACGTATTCTGTTTCTTTCTTTTTACTGTTACGAGAGAGAGAGATTACCTTTTAATATACTCAAATGAATATGTAAAATGACATTTCAATGTTGTTTTGACCTTTAATTTTCAACTTCTAGCAAAGGAAACGACGATACAAAGAATATCTTTCATTTCACTGATGATTCCTCCAAAGTGAGTTATTCATAAATGAAATTATGCGAAATATGTATAAAGCGAAATGATTTCCACGATGGGCGAATCCGATAGCAACATCGCAAATATCCTCAAAAATACAGAAATACAAACAAACTCACCTGCTTATTCGAAACTTCTCAAGCGCAAGTTCTGCATCGCACAACAATTCAGGTGTTTCGTGCGAATGTTTATCCTTCGCATGATTAGAAGCACAATACAGATTGGGACAGAGAGTAAAGAATTACAAAGCAGCTGTCGCACTCCTCTTCGAGACTAGAGAAAATTAGAAGAGGAAACCAATGCGCAGTTTGCAGCGCAATCTATTAAAAGTTGTCAGCATTCAATAACACGAGGTATGTCTCATTGATTATTGAGAAATAAGTAAACTTACATTATCTATAGGACAATAAAAATATAATCAACTGTATACAAAATTATTACACGATTAGATAGAATAATACAGTTCTCTGCGAAGAAATACAGAATCTACATATATTAATTACGATTACAGAACACTATATTATCGACAAAAGTTCGCGAATACCAAAAACACAAATTGAAGATTTTATATTTCCGGTAGAAGGTATATTATATTACAGGAAACTACTTTATCGACTATACCAACGATTCGCGAAGTTGCATATATCAGAAAAGAGAATCTACTGTTAAAAATTATCATAAAATTATATTGATTACGCTATAATTCGCACAATTAAATACGCAAACATTGTGTAACGTAAAACTATTTATTTAAATTATGCAGTACTACTCATACTTGTAGAATTATCTGCAATGTAACTTTGCGTGGTATTTGCGATAGCAAATTTTTCAGTGACGTCTAATTGAATAACCATGACGAGATACGTCACTATCGCCCCAGCAATCTATAAAATAATTTTGTTAGAATAAATCACGCATAATATATCATTGCGATATTGAGGAAAAGCAAGACTTACGGAACACATAAGGGAGATGTTGATTTCGTACAGTCCACAAGCAGTAAATACTAAGTCTTGATGGACCAATTGAAGGGAAAAATATATCACCTAAGTAATGAAATCTATACAGAGTATCTGACAATAATATAGTGAATATATGCGTAAATTATATCAAACAAAAAATTCGTCTACCATTTTGTAAACAGCCACATAAAAATTTTAGTTTATTAAGAAATGATATCAATAATTTAGTTAATTAAAGAAATTTTTTTTATTTAGTTTGACCCAATGTACATAACGCAAATCATATATTTACTGTCACTCTTTGCACTATCTCGGTCGATCCACATACACATTCGCTAATTCTCTTTAATTAATAACTCAAAATTTTACATGTTTGTTTGTGCAAAATGGTAAAGAAATTTTGTACTTAATTTCACTTCTAATCTATATGTAGATTAGAGGTGACACAGTAATTCTAAATGTTTCTTGATATGGCTGAAGTCTCCACATATAAGCAAAATTTCTTACTTCAGACCGTAACGATTTATGCTTCAGGAAGACATCATGCAAAATCTTTGTCATTCGCCTGGACTGAATATATAGTGAGATTAGAATTATATCATATGCATATTTCCACATACACACGTCTATCTGATACTCAACCTCGTTTCTCGTTCGCTGACAGATATAACTAATATATAGAGATCGAAGAACACTGCAAAATATGAAGATCACTTGAAAGACGATTGTATCACTTCGATTCTCATCCGTCTTCATGTTATGATATATATCGTAAAGGTTAAGAATTATCGCATTCAAGCATAATGCTGAACTTATCAGAAGGTGCAAACTAAAATTCGCGTTTACCTGTTGGCAAAGAATGAATCGAAAATAATTCTAACGAAATGTATTAGTAAATTTTTAATAAAAGAGATAACTCCTTTTAACTAATTATTCATTAAATTTTAGTCCATTCTATTTACGACATAATAGATAATACACAAATCTCAATATATAAATACCTTCATTGCCAAAACAGTTAACGTATAATGAATATGCTGAATCGAGCGAATTTTACTAATCACGAGGTCGTTGCGTTTATCATATGCGTCTGCTGTTGTGAAGTTGATGTAAGAAACCAACAATTTATCTTTCGAATGCTGTGCCGCGATCTTATTCAACTCTCGGAATCTCAGGTATATATCATTCACATAGTGAGATAACAACCCATCTATAACTAATAAGCAGATCACACTATACCAGGTGTGAATAGATAGCCATATCAACTCAGTCGAATTACTCGTGATTCTTTCATAAGAACATTTCATCGTAAAAAATAACGATAGTGTCACTGTTACAGCATCCTGCAAGTGCTTCATGATGAAGATATCCTTATCCGAGAATTGTGCGCCGTACGATCTGAAACGTCAAGCAACGATACAAAAAGAGTCGTTTATTACAGTTAGACGTTAAGATAAAAAGTAATTGTATATTGCCGATACGCAAATATGCTTTGAAAGAAAGCGCCCATTTCATAAGGATAGTATTCATTTCCTTTTTAGTTACAGAAGAGTTTTAGAATTTGCATGAACATTTGAAAATTGAAATCAACATAAATGTCATTCTTTAATTTACTAAAATATTAATTAATAAATATAATTACATAGTATAACCAGATAGTAGAGAATTCAAAAAGAATTCCGTCGTATATGTTACCAATTCTGAGTTCATTTTTAGATGCAAAGAGAATTCTTCAGAGTTCAGTTCAGTGAAAAGAATTCTTTTTGCACCTAAAAATGAATTCAGAATTGGTGACAAATGACTGAATTCTTTTTGAATTCTTTGCTATCTGGGTAAGTCATTTTAAAACATCCACAGTCTTCTACTGCTTCTATAGCAAACATTGAGAAAATCAGCTTTGAATATTTTTCTTCCAAAATACAAATACGTCAAGATCAATTATTCGAATGAGCGAGAAACTTACTCGAGTATAGAATCTATGATGAGCATCTCCTGGCGGGGAAAAGCGAATTGCTCCGGATGAAACAGAGACGTAATCACCATTGTAAATATCAAAAGAACGTACAACGTATACTCCAACGTTATCATAAACTTCTTGATAATGTGGTTCGCACAATGACCGGTGCAAACGTTATCCCAAGTCATATAGCTCAGAAAACAGAACAGCACCAGAAGCACAAAACTATACGATTTGCCCAAGTAACTCGACAGATTGATTCCAAAAAGGCGCGAGATCTTCTCGAGAGACTGGCCTGTAGAAGCTAGAAGTTGCTTTCCCTTTGGATCCATCGTAGTGCACTTCTCCGGTAATCTAGGAACTCGAAGATGTTACTTAACTTGTGATTACTAGTTGCCAGGAATGCTTGTTCCAATATATTACACTGACGGTCACGTTGAATATTCACGTAACTGCGCGGGTGTGCATTCACAAAGTATATACCGGCCCTGCGATTTTATCGTTGCTTTTATCCTTTTAGCGCTCTATTGATCGCGCCGAGGAAATAAAGCGTTTGCTGTGATAAAGATGGAACTAATACGCATTGCTATTTACATCGACACGATAAGAATGTTCTCTTACAGTTAATACACGCAATGGAGATCGCATGATAAATCGGAAGATCGATGGTACGTGCGGACGTAACGACATTTTTATAACATTTGTTCGCAGAAATAATACTGTAGGATGCTGGGAATCGAGGATGGAGTGCCGCAAAATGAAAACATCTGAAAAAAGCAAAGATCGTTAAAACAATAGATTATCAACGATTGTTTCTATTTCGTAATATTGTAAATGCATACATAAATTATTCTTCTCCTAAGTTTTGAAAAGTTACATGACTTAAAAGTTACATGTACTTTAATGGTAACATTAAAAATATTTATTGTTGATACGAAAGTGATAAAATTACATATGTAGTATGTGATGATGGTAAAAAATAATAACAAATCGTAAGTGCAAAAATCGATCATTAATATCACAATGATCACAACTAATTATCATACAGACAAGTTAGTTCCCTTTTCTTAACTTTAACTTCCTTTTTCTCAAACAAAAATTTACAGATTGTTCACTGTAATATTATATACAGGGTGTCCCACATTCTCCCCCGAGCATTTTGTGGGAACGTAGAACAGGTAGCGGTGAACATAAAAGTCCTATACCGTTTTGCGATATTCGCAATAACTATCGAGATATTAATTGTAGAAAATTTGTGAAAGATCATACAGGATATGGTAAATGAGTTATAATAGCGATGATTGCCGTCGTGTACTTATACCTTAGGTCAAATTGAACAAAAAAATCCTCTACCATTTTTTAAATAATCACATAGATTTTTAATTATTAATTAAAGAAGAAGAATGTATTATCACGCAAAATCATGCAATAATCTTCTTTAATTAATAATTAAAAATCTATATGATTATTTGGAAAATAGTAGAAAATAGAGAACTTTTTTGTTCAATTTGACCTAAAGTATAAGTACACGACGGCAGTCGTCGCTACTATAACTCATTTACCATATTCTGCATGATTATTCATAAATTAATATCTCGATAATTATTGCGAATATCGCAAACGATATAGGACTTTTATGTTCACCACAACCTGTTCTACGTTCCCACAAAATGTCCGGAGAAGAGTTGGGACACCCTGTATAAAGAGAAATAAGAAAAAATGTTCACTAACTCATTTTCTTCTTTTCATCGTGGACGAAAATATTAAATATTATCGTGTAACAATCATAAAAAAAAACTCGCGTTTTAAATAAATTTTCTACCCTACCTAACATTTTTGCTTGTGACAATAATACTAATAATACTAATAATTAAACTAATATATATATTCAGATATACTGAATATATATATATATATATATATATATATATATATATATATATATATAAATATATATTCAGTAGTCTTCTTCATCTTCGTATCCATAACCGTCTTCATCTTCCTCAGATTTCGCGTGACGTCCGAGCATCTGTCCAACAGACATCTCCGTAGCGTCTGCTTCCATCTCTTCATCGAGATAGTCATCTGCTTCGTCAGCTGTAATAAAAATTGAAAAATAATAACCTCCCATGAAAATAAAATCTATTAGTGAAATACTCAATGACAAATATGCGACAATATGCAGAGTGTCTGATACAACGCGTACATCCGCTCCTGTGCAGATCAAACTTGCAGATTAAACAAAATAATAAAGGATTTTTTTTGTTCAGTTTGATGAGTTCAATCACATGAGTGAATGTACGTGTTATGTTAGACATCTTATATAAATATGCACAATAGAACAGAAATGCTCTATAACTAGAACTAGAACTAGAAATTTTCTTTAAGAGGGCAACTCGATTTTGAGGTCTCAAAAATTAACACATTTTACGAATTTTTTTCTCCGAAACTATGCGGGCGACAAATCCTAAACTTTGTATGGTTATTAAGATATATTTTATTAAAACTTTCTAATTTTTACAAGTAGAAATAATATGTAAAATTATAGTTATAATGATATACGCGCAAGGTGTTGATTTTCATAGTCACCACGATTGCGAATCTCTCCGTGATCTAAAACAAAAAAGTAAGTAAGGAAATTAATTTGCAGACTTACCGCTATCGTCTGAAGTACAGAAATGCAAAACGAACCAGTTTTCAATTAATTTAAGACGTATAAACAAAATTTTTTGTTCATTTTTTAAATTTTATGTTTATACGCCTTAAATTAATTGGAAACTGGTTCGTTTTGCATTTCTGTACTTCAGACGATAGCGGTAAATCTGTAGATTAATTTCCTTACTTACTTTTTTGTTTCAGACCACGGAGAGACTCGCAATCGTGATGAGCATGAAAATCAACACCTTGCGCGCATATCATTATAACTATAATTCTACATATTTCTACTTGTAAAAATTAGAAAGTTTTAATAAAATATGTTTTAATAACCATATAAAGTTTGGAATTTGTCGCCTGTATAGTTTCGGAGAAAAAAATTCGTAAAATATGCTAATTTTTGAGGCCTCAAAATCGAGTTGCCTTATTAAGTTCTTGTCTATGGAAATAGACAAACAGATTACGCACCAATTTCAGATTCCATTGATATATCTGCAACGGATATCGAATTCTCCATCGGAATGATTTCCTTCTCCATAGTTTCTTCATCCTTTTCCTGTTGTGGTATTTCGGTTGTTTTCTTTGTTTGCTGAATACTTGATTTAATGGGTGAAGATTTTCTCGATAATGAAATTGTTGTATTGTCAGAAGAATAGACTGACATCCTAAATGTACAAAATAATTGTTACAATATCTATCGCACAGTCGATTTGGTCGTAATCGCGATGTTTACTTACGGTTTATTAAAAGTCTTTTTCATTTTATCATCCAATCCCAACGTGGTATTCGTCATGACGGATGATTCTTGATTGTTTTCTTGCTGATTGCTAGAAGAATTTACAGTACTGTTTAAAATTTTCAGTGCTTCGTAATTGATTTTGGAAGATATCTTCTTTTCTTGCAACATCTTTTCAATCGCTTCGCCTAAAAGTAAGAAGAGTAAAATGACACAGTGAGTAATAAATTACAATAATTTTACGAATCAATACGTTATAAGAAACGAAAATAAACTTACCAGCGGTATTCGCGGGCGTTTTATTCTTCTTGGTGGTCCTTCTTCTTTTCTTTTCGGGTTTACCCTCCTCTGTCTCCTTTAAGCGCTTCTCTTCTTTTTCCTTTTCTTTAACGAGATATTCAGCATTCACTTTATTCCAAAGGGCAGATTTATAATTCGCTTCCTTTTCCGAAAGGATGTAACTGTCCAATTCCTCATCATCTATGTCATCTATACTGATTTCTTCGCAATTCTAGTAAGAAAAATATCTCTTAATTATTCTATAACAACGCTATTTCTTTAATGTTGTGTAAGTGCAAAATATTACATATATACACATCATATCGCACGCACATACACTTACATCTTCATTATTATTTAATTTTTCTTTGGTTTCATTTGTAGAATCATTCGTAGAAAGCAGCCCCATTGTCGCCAAATCCGGACCTGTATGCAATACATGAAAATGAGAGAGAGGGAGAGAGAGAGAGAGAGAAATAAAAAAGAAAGAAAGAGAGAGACTCACCAAGTCCGGTAATATCTGAGCAATTATCTTCCATTGTAGAATCTTGGATTTCATCAGGATCATCCACATTATTATGAACAAATTCATTGATTACGTTCAAATTGCTTTCTCGGATAAATTTGTCCGTATCTTCACTCTCCATGTCACCTAATGTATGTGTGTGTGTATAAAAACAGATATATTAGAATAATATACTATAAAATATAAGATGCTATAAGATAAGGTAAACCATTATATATTTAAATAAATTAGCTATTATATATTATTTAAGTGAATATTATATATTGTTTCTTATGTCTCTTATTTATTTTATCTATTTTATATATCTTATTTATCATTGTTTTTTCTATGTTTATTTTTTCAAATAATATACGATACAAGAATGCATTTACCATCTTTTCGTTTCTTCAATTTTCCTGTTTTGTATTCTTCTAATTGTCTATCAATTTCTGCTTGCAACTCGCTTATTTCCGCATCTATATTATCTAACTAAGAATCAAACACCATTAGTAAGTTTTTTTCACGCCAAAGACTGTAAACTTACCTTAAATTTGATTGAAATTACCAAATAAAGAATCGTTATTTCATGAAGAAGCACGTACCTTTTGTAGACGTTCCCTATCCTTCTTACGTGCTGCTTTAAATGCTGGCGGGTCCTGTTCTTCCTCCAGGTCCACTGTCATAAATTCGTCTAATGTTAAAGCACTGGATGGTGTATCGCCGAATTCTATTAATCTACAACAAAAAGGCTTCATTATTACTACACAAATGTTGATATATTATAAAAAATAACAAACCTCTCT